CTGCACACCATTTCCATTCAGTTTTCAGTTAAGTCGAAAATAGTTGAACAAGCCTGAACAACTAAAATCCACAGTGGTGGGTTTTAGCATACGAGTTTCTCCGTGATAAGTTTCAGGAACTAGTTTACATTAATGCCTCTGATTATCTGCATAGCAGCAACGGGGACAGGGGAATAATGTCTGTTTGTTTCTATAGATCAAATTTTTACTAGGATTTGATCTGATTTATTATTAAAATTGATTATCTTCATTTCACATTTGCTATATTTTCGTAGCTTAATGGACTACAACTGCATCCATACTATATATTTCATTGGAAGTATGGTTTCTGTTCGTTATAATAGACCAGCCTGGATGTGCCACCGCTCTGGCAGTTTTAGCTGAATCAAATTAGATATTATCCTGTCTTATTCTCTCAGGCCATGGGATTACAGCACACTGCTATGAAACCTCCCAGCTGAGAGGCTGAAAGACCTTTGCAAATGATGGGCCAGTTGCTGCTTGCCACACTTTTTTGGGCAGGCTGTCTGCAGTGCAAGTGTGGTTTGGCTCTCTGATAGCTTCTCATTATTTTTATTTTGGACATTTATATAGGAAGAGACAGAGTGGGTAAGAGTGTCATCGGAGGTCTCCCGCTGGTTACTGGCAGGGTCACAAATTGAACACAGCAGTACCGATTCTCACTTCTCCTCCCTTTCTAATTACTGAGGCACTCACCCTTTTTTGCCCAAAGTTTTCTTGCAGTTCCAGCTTTCCTTTCATGCCAACCAATTTTATCACGTGGTTTCTGAGCTTTTTTGGAAACTTTCCTCCACACTATGACAAGGAATGTTAATTCCCTAAACTGGATTTCGCCCCTGCCTGCTCGCCGCGCTCACTGGCAAGCTGGACTGGGTCTGTAATCCAGCTGTTCACCCTGCTGACGTGCTGACTGATTATCAGACCTGAGTCTGTTACAGCAGGAAGCTTTGCATGCTAATCTTCTTGGCACAGAAAGACACTGGTTTGGTTTCCTACCCTAACAGCAGTCCCCAAATGTTGGTGCTCATATGGTTCAGATTTATCGTGTTGCCTTGCTTTCTCCGATATTAAAACTCCCATTTAAATTTGACATGTGCTCCAGACTACTTTAGGAACCAACCTGCACGTCCTTTGGGGTGTAGTCGCTCCAGAGCGGCCCGCTCCGTCCGGCCGCGTCGGTCCTGGCGCTGATGCGGGTGACGCGGTCCCCGTCCTGCGCGAAGTCTGTCACGGCCGTCACGGTCAGCGCGGCCGCCGCGCAGCTGCTCGCCGTGCAGGGCAGCGCGTGCAGATCCACCTGGCACGACGACAGGGCCACGTTCGGGGGCCCCACGAGCCGGGTATCTGCAATGAACACAAACACCGAGTTCCACACGACACGTCCCAGCAGCTCTCCTTTGTACCGTCCAGCACAAGTGTTTTACATTCCCCGACACGCATGCATGAAACCAGATGGGGTTTGTGTGAAGACAATTGTGGCTGACTTAATCTGGCATCCCTTTGCACATTTTACTATTTTTTCCCCTTTTTTATATATATTTTTTCCTGCATTAGATTTTTTACTAATACTCATTGGTGCTGTTCTGTCCACAGGTGTTTATATTTCTGGAATGACCGTCTTTATGAGTCCATGTGCAGAAAATGAAGATGAGTATTTCTCATGACAAAGAATGAGATGAATCTGTGTTTCAGGAAAGTGTTTATCTTTCACTAACTTTATTATAAAAAGGGTATCTGCTGAGACTTGCTTAATTTAAAATAAAGGGAAGTTTTTTTATTTTCAATCAGTTTTCAGTAACTTTCAGGTCTGGGACAGGAAGACAAATGCAACAGATCAGTACATTCTTCTCTCTTACAGGTTTTTGGATTTGGCTAGGTTATTTTGCTCTGTAAAATGATGGTAGTATCATTTCTATCTTTTATAGAGGAGATGTGAGGACAAATTAACTAAAAGACTGAACAAAATAATATATGATGGTGTTACTGGCTATATAAGTGTCTGTGATGAGTGGGAAAGTGATGGGTGATGACAAAATCCATGTGGCAACGGTAACTCAAGCTTATGCATGCAGCTCTGCCCCTGCCCATCACCTCTCTTAAAACGAGAATAGTGGTGTCCGTTTCTCTTCAGTGCTGATCCTTCACGCTGAGGTCACAGGTAAAATGGTAATTCACTTTTTTTTTCATGGGTGTGTTTTTTTATGAGCATTGACCATTTGGTTCTGAGCCAGCTGGCCTACATTTTGGATAATGTCTGTCTTCTCCTTAAGGAGTCACTCAAACCTTCATGAATTCTTTAAGGAGTATATAATGAAATTTGGGGCCTAGAACTGCTTTCAGGACTATCAGTGTTTGTGCTAAATGTTTAATTTTCCGTTGCAGGCCAATATTTATGAGATGAGAATATACAGTGTTCTGGAAAGCGTGGCAATGGAATTAATTGGATACAAATCTAAGTGATTTTTTTATCATTTTTTCAGATTTCTAGCTTTGTTTAATAATTTATATGAGATGGTATTCAAGTGTTCTAAGATTGTATTTCTAATAGATGGTATCCAAGTCTTCTAAGATTGTATTTCTAATACGATTAAGTTATCAACATTTTATTCCTTATGGAAAAGACTCATAAAATGGAAATGAAATTAACCCTTTAGAGTTCTATAGAAGCTGCAAACATTAATTGCATATTATTTCTCATACCAAATCCTTAAAGGCTGCTGTATATCATATAGAAAAGTCTTTGCTCATTTTCAAGGTTCCTGATTCAATTAAATTGGAGGTTTCCATAAGGAATAGTTACTGCCACTGCAGACCCATGGGCTGTGCTCAGAACTCAAACCAGAAGTTTAAAATCAAACAAAATGGTCTTGTCAAAACAGCAATGATAAACGTAACAAAAGGCGAACTCCGGTGGTGCTGGTGTGCCTAGGCATTCATTATGATACTGTCTGAACTTGAAGAGATATTTCTATGCTTGTAATTAGCTTTCTTATCACTTATTCCCTACATAATTAACACGACAGTGGCGTTACATGGATTCAGTCAGACGAGGAGCTTGTCAGTTAATTTCTTAGTTATAAATGAATCTCAGCTCAACTTGTTTTTATTTTCAATTTATTGCACTGTGGCCGACATTACTTTCTTCAGGAGCCCACAGCGTTCTTTTGAATAAACAAAGAACCCTACAGACAGTAAAGGCACAAAATAAATGTGTGGTTACGCAAACACACAGCAGTAGCTGTTCAGTCTTAGCAACGTATAAATATCTCAATTGATTAAGGGCCCAGTGTCATACAAGGATATAGCCTTGGGGTGGAACAATCAAGGACTAGATCTGGTTATTAGTTTAAGTTACATAAATGAGATGATTAAAACTGACAGAAAGTCGCCACTTCGGTGACAAGTTTCCTCAAAGATCAGTTAATTGGGAGAGTTGTGTCTCTATCTTGGCACCTCTTGGCACCAAAATGTCAAGCCCATTGAAGCCTTGAGAAGAAATCTGCTCTTGCAAATGTGACGCCACCTCTTTCCTTCAGTTAGATGCAAAAGTGCGTTGTGGGACTAGAGGAGACCCCCGGCAAGGAGACAGACTTAGGTTCTCATTTATCAATCCCAGCCTGCCCAGGCCTGGGAGCTCCTAGCCCATGAGTTTACTGTCTGTGAAACATTTGAAGGCCTAAGAATATATCTAGGTAGCTTAAAAAAAAAAAAAAATCCCTTATAGGTTCAGTGACAAGCTTTCATTTTGGGTAGGCGTTTAAGTTGCCTAGAGGTTTTGGGGACATCCCACCACACACCAGCTTGCATTCCTTGGTACCTAAATATCTCAGGGAATCTGTTCCCATGAGCTCAGTGAGTGCTTGCCGGGTAGCCAAGAGGGATATGGAGAATAGGGAACTGCTGAGCCAGGGAGAAATTCAAAATACTCCATGTCCGAGAGCCAACACAGCTGCTGGAACCATACGGTGCTGCTCGGCTTAAGATCTCTGTGTTATGATATCATGCGAAGGAGTTTTTTTCTTCTCTTTGTGCACTTGGCTGATGGTGGGGAGAGAAACAAGAGGGAACTGAGAACTCATGTTGTACAAATGCCTGATTAAGAAAATAAAAAAGGCAGAGATGGAGCAGCAAGAGTGGGGAGGAAGATAGAGACTTACTGGGTCTTTCTTGTTTTAGAGGAACTGTCTGTTTTTTGCCATTTTTTTTTTAACTGGCCTTTTGAGGAAGAAAAACTGTGGGCCTAATCCTGGCTCTAAACAATCTTCTCATTGAGGCTCTCATAGAAGTAGAATAAATCCCTTGCTATAAAAAGATTTGGGTGTTTTCTCTATTGACAGTGGTAAATAAATATACAAATGGTTCCCTTGCTTAGGCATGGCTATTGCACCAGATTAACCTCAGGAAACTGTTTGCCAATTGAAAGGGCAAGGTAATTTCCTGACACATTGTTAATACATTAAATTAAAAAATATTTTTTAGGAAAAGCATATGCTACATTGTGATGCACAATTATACATTATGATAAGAATGTTTTTTTTTCCATTTAAAGTAAGGTAGACAAAAACCACAAGCCCACAAAAGAAGAAAAAAAAGCTTCAGTACACATTTACTGAATAATAAATCTGTCAGTGAGCTCCTTATTTGTAATTAGTGTAATTAGTGGAATTATTCTAGCAAAGACCATATCAATTACAAAGTTTAAAATGCAATTTTATACTCCCATAATTTAAAATAATTTCTTCTACTCATATTTATTTCACCCATAAATCTCAATGGATTATTGTTAAGGTGTTCTAGGTGTCAAAAACCTGAGTGATACTATTGTCTGTTTTATCATGTATTTTATTTTGTAAGCAAATATAAGGTCTCAGTAGTTTGAGTTTATGGTGTCTACCCTGTGGTAAAATTAACTGTAGCATAGGTACCGAGAAAAGTAATCACACTGTTTTGATGCTGATATGTGAAACTCTTACCCAAATCCTCAGTACTTAGCTGTAAAGTAATTTTGCAGGAATCATCATTCCCCGAACAGGTAATAGGGACAGTACTCAGAATGGTCAGAACATGCTCTTTGCCGTCCTCTGCAATTTGTAATGATTCTGGTAAAAACTGAAAATAAGAAAATCACTTTTAGATCATTTTGACAAATTAATAAGGTAGTGCTGATGTTTATGAAAATTTGAGTGCTTCTAAGCAATTATGAATCATAAAGTAACTTGTAAAATATTAATCACCTTAAATTTTCCAAAGGTAAAATTACTAATAAACTATCTTAACAGAAAAGAAGAAAATGAAGAAAATGTTTGCAGCTGCCATGTGTTTGCTTCCTATTTGCCAGTCTAAAAACCTGCTTTTATAAAACCTGAAAATAGTGTGATACTATAGAATATATATAGTCATGTTTAATATCTCTGGCTGAAATGAGCTTTCATTTCAATGCACTAAGGCACTAGCAATATTTATGGCCTGCAGTGTGGCGCTGCCTCAGTTATGAACATGGACACTATATTGGTATCTGCTGCAGGTGCAAAGTAACTAAGTGCTGTTTTCACCCGATTCCTCTTCCCTGCTATGGCAGGAAGAAGAATTTCTCCATACATAATACATCACAGCTTGGGCCCTGGGGAAGGGAGACGGGTTCTGCCACTTCTGCCTATACCTTCTTCTAGGGCAAGGGCAGAAACAGCGTTTGAGTCTAGTCAGAAACCGGAATTTTCATTCCTTGTAATTGCTTGGAAACAATTCTGACATTAAAAACAACAACAACGAATTGAACTTATTCTTCAAATGTCATACAGAAAAGGCTTCTAGATTTTTTAAACATCATTCTTCTGGGTATGAAGCTCAGATATTCAGAAGATCTCAAATTTTCCAGGGTTGTCAGCCTGACAGTCGAATTCCTCAGTAGTGCTTTGCTCATAGTGTGGGCTTACCCTCAGAAATTTGATTTTTTTTTAATGTCTAACCACAAGAAGTTGTTTGATAAAAAATCATTTCTCTCTACACTTTCTTCTGGTCTCATTACAATAAAATTCCGCACCCTTGCTGGTGTGGCTTCCCACCATATATAACCACAAGAATATTTTGGGGCATATTTATCAGAAGATGTAATTTTGCACGTTCTTTATGGTGCATTAGTGTCAATACCTGCACATTCTGCTGATGAGCGCTTCCAACAGTTTTACAAACACACTGAAAGCCATATAATATATTGAGACATTTCCTCAAAGTGAACAAAGACACAGCTTTGGTTATGATTATCAAGACCTATGCTTCCGTGTATTATCTTTCAGAGCATGTCAGATAATATATAATTTTTATCTGGGGATACGCTACAGAAGTTCAGTGAATCATGGCCATCAGCATTACCTTAATCCCTGCATAGAATCCGCTGCTTTCTTCAGGTAATGACTGCTGATCAGGAGCGTCCTTCATAAAAGCGGTGACAGTGCAAAAGACCTGTAATAAATAAACATGTATTTTATAGCTCTTCTTGAAAAGAATGGCATAGTTATGTAACTATTCGTTGCTGAGGTCTTTCTTTATTGCTGGAACAGAGTTTTTGGAGGTCTAGGCTTTAAAAAATGTTTATGTATAAACCTTGAGATTTGAAGGAATTTTGGTTGCATTAAATAAGGAAAAGAACACGCATTTGCCTCAACAGCTAATAACAGTGAATGCTTACAGTGCATTTTCTTCTGCAGCTCCTTCTAGGGGTTAGTAATATTATCTCCATATTAATTAGGGACAATTACACTATTCATAGGTGCAGATTATGACATTAGCCTTTAGAATGTCAGTCTGTGCCCTGAATCAAATATCTTTTTTTCTGTACCATGATTTTGAACTGTCCTTTGTTTAGATTAGTGTGACAGCCACCGAGTCGTGGAAACATTGTCAGTAACATGCAAAGCACCTGTTTTTCTTTTTTCATAGTGCGTTATAAAAGTATGCCTAGATGAGGCAAATGTGCCTACAGGGTTCATATTATAAAAGCAAAAAACAACAAAAATATGCCTTAAAACAAAAGCCACCAAACACGATGTACCAGGCCAATTATGCTTTATTCCTAGCACAGTCATGCAACCTTTATCTCTACTGAGCCCGCACACCATCTGCCATCCCAGTGTTTCATTGGTTTCAGAAAACGCAAACAGCTAACATTGTTTATAGGATCATAGGATTAAACTACAGAATTTTTTCTTAAAGCAAACTGCAATCAGCTCTGAAATGGCAGTTCTAAAATTTTTTGGCCTCTTCTCATAAATGGAATAACAGATTGTGACATACTAAAATCAATTCTAAATAATCAGATGGCATATTTATAGCTACTGCCTTTTTTAAGCCTCAAGTAACCCATGAGGGGAAATCAGACCAATGTAATTTATTTTCTGTTTTGGTTTTGGACAGATTTTTCAGCACCGCCCGTGGGCTCGAGGTGTTTTTCAGAGGTCAGTGTTCATGGAGAACCTAAATGCCAGTAAAGCAACTTTGGCTCCACGCACAGTTCTTTTAGAAGCACCCTGAAAATGAGGGTGAAGCCAAAACCTTTTGTCATCTGTCCATTACAAGGCAGCCCGTGGTTGGCCTCCATGGTCACCCCAACCCTTCCAGCCTTTTCCTGGGGAGCGAGTGGGCAGACTGAAGGGTCCTGGTGCCCTTCGAGGATACCCAGGACATCTGGGTATCCTTCACCTGCCTGCAGGTCAGGCTGTAATGCATGACAGTGGTTGGAGGTCACTCTCAGAAGGCTACTTTGCTCTAGGCTTCTCCTGGGACCTCCTGGCTAGACATGGCCCTTGTGACCAGCAATAACCAAACAGACTTGAAAAAATTAAAAATATTTGCAGCATTATAGGGTCATATGGATGCGAGTGATTTTTTTAAAGTCACATTTGGCCTAGTGAAAATAGTGTTATTTATCATATTATTGACATGGAGTCATGTACATCTTGCCATGTTCACTGGATGGAGAGAGGACATAGGCCTTAGAGAACCACTGTAGAGGGCAAATTCGTCAAAGACTCCATAGTCAGAAAATATCCCCTTGAGGGAGAACAACTCATGTTCCCCTAAAGGTAATAAGACCCTATCATGATTAGATTTTTCTTATTCCCAAGTATTCCTCATACAAGCTCATGTTCAACTTACAAGGCGGAACATGAATATTGCCCTTCTTACTGCCATTTCCGTTACAGCAGCTAAGGAGAGAATCTGCAAAATCATGATCTGACAAGTCAGTGACAACACAGAAAGAGAGAGTTTGGATGATATATATTCCCCCTAGTGAAAAAAAAATGATTCCATTACAGAACTCAGTGAGCAAACGCAATGCATCTGCATTGCAGATACTATATTTACACTTGTTGGGTTGTTTGCACTTTTTGCTTCAGCGCTTTTTACCAAAAATATTCACTTGGAGACTTCCATTTGAGCACACCACTTGCAAAAGAAAGCTGAGTGGAGGGGGAGGCTCCAGCAGAGGAATCTTGGAGTCATCTTCAGTAAAATGACGCCTTGGAAAATGTCAGAAACCCAACCTCGTTCCCTGTTTGCAATGTGTTCTCAGTCATTGTAGAACACAGCTATAGTATCATAGAAAATTAACCCATAACAATATTCTGAAGTTATTACCAGACTCTATGTCCTGTCCATTTTAGTTTCAGCATATATGGGGTTTAGTACAGAATTTGCAAATCAGAAATGTATGGGCAACAGTCATGAGTTGCATTTTATTTCTTTCCTGATGTATTTCACATCATTCCCTTTCTTGTAGTGTCTTTACCTAGCTAGGTGCACACTTCACAACCAGCAGATGCGCTCATTGGCTACTGAGGTTGATGGTTTGTCACGTAATTATGATGATAGTCACTCTAAGAAGTTTTTTGCCTTCAGCCAAATACTAGCTCTTTTTCTCCAGTTCAGTAATCAACTTTTGCTTTCTCTCCTCTTCCTTCCCTACTGATGGATGTATCTCTTTTTAAAAGCAAAGACATAAAAGCAGCATTACTGTTGGCAGTATAAGGATGGCCATGAAGGCCATGTTTTTTCACAAACTCATCAAATATTTCCAAAATCAAATTACACTTTTTTATCATCCTTTTTAAAGGAAGAGAAATCTGTAAAGGTGCCTTCAGACACTGTGAATGAATTGCTTCCAATTGTGGTCTGCCTCCCTCACTTTGTGCGTTTGTAGTTATTTCTGTAGGGCAAAAAACTACTTACGGGCACAATGTGCTGATATAAAAAGGCCCTGGTATCTAAAAATTTCTACATTCCTGTGTTTCAGAGCAGATTTCTACCCTTAAGTGAACTTTACTCCCACTTTGCTGCAAAGCCTGTGAGCAGCATATTTAGCCAAAGCAGAATTCAGCCATTAATTTGGTGGTGATTGGGAAAGCTCTGGGAAATGACTGGGAGAATTTTTAAATGCTAAGACATTTAAATGCTAAGATGTCACAATCATCAGCAAATTTCCCCCTAACATCTTGCACATCAAAATGTCTATTTAGTGCTCTCAAAATCCAAAGCTCCCACAAATCATTTATTGAAAATCATTTTAAATGTAAAAACCTCCAGCTTTTTCCTTTTCCATGCTCCTAATTACTCCTGAAAGCAGCATAGTGGTCTTCAGTGGTAGTTTGAGGATGTGTTGAGGAAAAGGAGGCCAAGGGTAGAGACAAAGAAGCTCAAAGAAAGTTGCATTCACGTTTGTAATCATCTTCAAAGGCAGAGCGCACAGGGAGTCCATCATCGCCGCCGCGCTGCTGTCCGAGTTCCCATCGTCGTTGCCTGTCAGCGCACGCTCCGGATGGTGGAGATGTGGCTACCTGCCAGGGACCATCTCCCAAAGACCTTGAGCATGTTTTCAGATGTATCTCTGTGTCTGCACTTCAAGGCTTGCTTTCAGAAGTCCTTCTGCAAATTTAGGGTCTCAGGAATGTCCTGCGGGCCGCCAGGCTATCTTGGGAAGGGTGACACATTTATTTAAGGCAAGCCTCTCCTGGCAGAACTGGCTACAGGTCACCCATCTCTGTGGCAGGAGCTTGAGTGTTGCTGTAGTGACAGTGGTTTAAAATTAAAGTAATTGCTTCTACTGATAGTCTTTCAAAGCTTGAATACAGTTACGTCCGAGTAAGACTTCAAGGTCTGGATTTCAATGTGGAGGGAGGCCTTCCATCCTGTCTGAGCGGTGTGGGAGCTCAGGGACACCGCTCTGGTCAGTGCTGGGCAGCTGCTACACACTGCCAGCGTCACATCAGGCACCTCTTCAGGGTGCCCCCCTTGCAGCTACAGCCGCAGCTTTCAAAGGGAGGCAAAAGATTTCCCAGGACAAGGACTGCTCTGTCATGCTCCTGGTGTTGGCGTGAAGGGTTTGGTTGGGATCAGCTGTGCCAGGTGAAGGGGTGGCATGTGCTGGAGATGAAGGCTTCCCACCTGCAGGTGCCTGCTCTACTAAAGGCTAATCTAGGCAGCACTCTGTTTCTGCCAGGATGCTCCCTTTTCCTGCTACTGGATGTTTTGGAAAGGACTTTCAAGCTCAACTGTAACCTTCAAATTAGTAGTCTTTTGTGTTCCTCATGCTGACTATGTCAACTCCAGCGCCTGGGATGAGGTTAGTATTTAAGCAAGGGGAAATATCCTTTCTTTGAGAGTGGACATGAGCTGTTCTCCCTCATATGTCGAGGTGCTAATTTGCAGTGTCCTTTGCTGGAGCATAGTTTTCAGGCATTGCAGAATGTCATGCGAGATGGCCACTTCTAGCATGCAGCGTGGAAAGGCCACTTTTACTCAAACATTTTTATTCCACAGTGTGCATCACAGTTTATGTATGGTGACAATTGCTTCTTGCCGTATGAACTTTCAGATTGCTGTGCTGAGCAAAATCTGCAGTTTGCTTCTAAACACCTTTCTCTCTTAGCATAACTCATTACTCACACTGTGCCACTATAATTTATAGATGGCTGTGCCTCCAGGAATGGAATGACCTCTGTCCGTATCATATAAATAAGGCTGAGGAATGCTAGGATTTTCATATCAGATGGAACAGGCTTCTTTCGGTGTCTATATAGAAACAGCAGCATGTTATAGATTTATTTAAGATTGCAATAGTTTTACGAACATTATGCTGCCAACATCACTGTCTGAAATAACAACATTGGAGCCCAGAGATGGGTGAGATAAGCACACATGACTGCTATTAAAAAATAACTGGCTGTTTAGACTAAAGAGAAGTCAATACAGGTTCAGAAATGCTGGACAGTAAATCCCAATTCCTCTTTAAAGTTATTATATAGCTTGACTACATATTAAAAATATTGATGGTTAGTCTATTGTGTGACTAACCTATTACCTGGAGACTTTCTGATGGATAAAATATAGTGTAGCTATCAATCACCTAAAGGATGATTAAAAATAATCTTTTCTCGTGGCTGTACTTCTTTCATGTCAGGAGACAACCAGAAAAGTTGCTAGTTCCAGCCGAGGCTTATAAATAATACAATTCCTAGAATTCATCTATGGGCACTGGAGCTCAAACCAGACTAGGCACAGGTGGGTGAAATGTGGGTTGAACAGAAGAAAGCAGTTTTTTTGTGATGCTGTGAGTTGTGCAGCCTGCAGGATTCGTTCTGCTCGAATCTCTCCTTGGTGGCATCACCTTTGCCTTGCAGTAGCCACATTATCACTTGCACCAAGTGAAAGGAGAATCTGTCCCTTTGTAACTGTTATTAGAAAGCCATAGTGGAAGAAAAAACACAGTCCAATGCTTTTCTGATCTTTAGTGTGTAAAAACTAAATTCCCAGTTAGAACTGAGGCTTCATTACTTGGTTTCCACCAGTGACAATTTATGGGTAATTATAATTAGCCAAATAGGCCATGAAGACCTTCAAAAAAATTTAGCAAGGAAGAGAACATTTTAGTGTCACTAAACCTGTTAAATTAAACATGAGGGTTTCAGCAGAGGACAAAGAAGGGCTTACTGAAAACTTAATGTAATGAAAAAGATCCTATAAAAATTTGGTGATGTTACTAGTTAACAAAACTACATTTTTTTTTTCTGTATCCCTCAGGATTGCTAAAACTAGATTTGACTGGATTTGTGTTACTAAATTTGTAACACAAACTTGCCTTGAAACCTGGCAGAATTGTCCACCTCATATTAGTGGGAAGGCAGCATTAGTCAGATTGCAAATTCAGATTGCATAGGTTTTTTTTTTCTCATTTCTTCTCATAATTACCTAGACTGTGTTATGGTTACAAATGACTCACCTTTACAAGAACTGGAAAAAAACTATTCATATTTCTTAAATATCTCAAAAAAAGAGCTGCAAAACACCACAGCTATTTCCAACCTACTTTTAATACAAGGCTATTATCCTTGTTTGTTTTTTCAGTTCTGTGTAGCATCACTAATGGCTCTCTGCCTACAAAAGTTATGAAGCTAATCTAACTTTAAACGTCTTGTTTCTGTACCGTGAAAGGCCATGAATTCATATACAAGTCATTTTTTTCACATGTCATATTGGCTTCTGTTTTGTAGTTGTTGTTGAAACTAGATCTGTGTTGCTATGTAAGCCATCAAATATACTTCTTAAAGATTGTTTTGTAATGAACTCTATCTTTCAGTATACTATTGAACCAAGAATTTGGAATCAGAGAGGCAGAACACCATGAAAAAGACCATAAAATAAGCCTCCCTCTACTTTAAAATGTGCTATCTTTCTTTTCTGTGAGAAGATGTTATTGTGTCTCAGGTCCATGAGTATAAAAATTACAGAGTGCGGATCGCAGAGTATGCCTGTACTGCAGATTCTCACTGCTGCAAGGCACAAAAAAAAAAACACTAAGCAAAAATTGGATCAGGTACATGTACCTGCTACTTGTGCCAACTTTATGGCGTTCGAGCAGTAACGTGCGTGTAGTTGTTCAGGTTGTTTTGGGATAATAGCAAAGCAGAAAGCTTCCATGAACTCCGTGCTATTCAAAGAAACATTACAGGTTCTGAACCGGGTATATATGACTGTGTAATCCTGTATATAACCCTGATTCCATCTTTTTTTTTTCTGTGCTAGGTGTTAAAATAATGGATGAGACACTAACAGAAAACAACTATGATTTTAGAAAAGTTTGACTGAACATTTGATTTGTTTTCCTCTCTCTTTTGCTGAGAGCAGGGTATCCTTACCATGTCTCCCAGCCTGAGATGAACACCGTCCATCTCCAGGTAGGAGAAGGGCTGCTCAGTGGTGTCCCGGCGGATCTCCTCTTTTGTGCCCGTGTCAGACAGACGTGACCAGAGCACCTCGTAGCGCAGCGGCTGGCGTGAGGATGGGCGCTCGTAAACACATTTCAGGTGGGCATGGTTTTCCACAAGCTTGGGAGATATCACGGGTTGCAAAGCCAGGCTCATGAGCTTCTCTGGAAAGGAAGACAAAATGATTGTGCAAAACATTACGTTAGTAGTGCAATTATTCATTCAACAACAGGGTGGTTTGAATTCAACTGGACATGAGAGAAACACTCTTTTATATTCTTGTGATTTGATTATTAACTCTATAAAAAAAGCAAACCTCTTTCATGTAAAGCACACAAATGGCTAAAAGTGTAATGACTGTTCATTGATGTTATAATAGTTGACCTGAGATTTTTTAATTTGTAGTTAGAGTAATATTAATGAAATCAAGCATACACTTTAATAGAAATTAATTATTTTGGCAAAGGTATTTAGCTTTGGATTTCCCAGAAGCACAGGCCTTTGATCTGCATTTTGCAATAAATACAGGAGAGAGATGAGTGATAATTACATTACAGAGGTAAACTGGCTCTCAAAGAGCAGCCAGCTCATATCACCATGTGGGGCAGACTCTTTCCAGGCTGTTCTGAGATGCACCTTGAATGAGCCAGTTCACTCTATTTTCTCTCTGCCCAGAATAATTCCACTGCTCTGAAAATACAGTCTGCTTTATATATGCTTCAACAAGTTATGAAGTCTGAAACTTTTCTTCCTCTAAAGCTTACTTAAAAGTAGAAGCAAAACAATGTATAATACTGTAGGGCAATGTTCTTTCATGCCTCGAGACAGGGACTCAAATGGAAAAAGAAGCAGGTTCAGATGGTTTGAAAGGATAAATCAAGAAACTTTTGCAGGATTGTAGAGAATATTATGGAAACTTAAGAGAATAAGATATGAGACTGTTAGAGCAGAATGGAGAATAGATGTGTTAACATCTGTCTAGGGCAAATAAGAAGAGCTAAGGAGAAGAAACAATTTACTTAAAATATGAATAAGTGCTAGCTGTTTATAGACTTTTTTTTATATATATTTCTAAGAGAAGCTGCCTCAAACTATTCCTCGGACTATGACTTTCTGAACAGAATTATACCAGAAGAACAAAGTTAGGCAATCAGAGCATGGGAGCCTATAAGCAAAATTGTAGGTGCATGCTGCACTTTTCTCAGCTATAGCCTTTCTGCCAAACTGTGAAGCTTTAAATTCCTTTCACTTGAACCTGGGAAGTGCAGAATGGTGCCGGTGTTCCCGAGCTCCGGGTAATGGGGCTGTGGGGAGCTCTCCGGCAAGAAGCTGTGACGCTGCCAGCTGGACCGGGCTCCTCGCTGTGCAGATTTAGCAGCGCGAATTCACAACCCCCCCATAAGAAACTCCAGCTTTTAGTGGTTTCTGTCCAATGCATGATACTGCAAAGACGTCCTGAAATCATCAAAGACTCAGGGGAGCTGATCACTGAAATGCATTAAAAATGGAGAAAGCATCAATGGCTATGTTAAGAAAAAAAAAAAAAAAAGAAAAAGAAAAGGTGAGAGAGGGCAGAAATTCATTGGTTTGGCATAGCTGGGAAGAGGATAAATTTTATTCTGTCTAAAATGCAGGCAGATTTAAGTCTCAAGTGCTATTATGCAAAGTTACTAAATAAATACTGATCAAGAGGCTTAATAAGCAATTTGATGACCTGAAGCAATTAAATAAGCCTGAGTGCTTAAGCACTATGACAGAAAGGACAAAAGTAATCACCTAAAAAGTAGAGATAAAAAATCCTCCTAAGAAGGGTAGAAGGAAGCTTTTAATTGAACATGCTGAACTTAAGCAATGTTCCCCCCTCCCCCCCAAAAAAAGAAAGAAATTGTAGAAAGGTTTCATTTATTTTGAGTTATATATTTATTTGGAATAGTGAATTATTCTTTCTTTCTTCAAGTCTATTTTCCTTCTCTCTCTTCTCTTGCACATGGGAACGTTAAAATATTGATAAAGATAAGAAATCAGACCCCTCTCACTTTAAAAACTTTTTCTAAGTTTGAATTTTGCCTGATTGAAAGGTGGTAACCCTAGTTTCTCAGTGTGGCTTGCCTCTGTCCAAAATTGCTGAAAGGAAGGTATAAAGGTAATTTTTTCCCTTTGAGAAAGAACTGTCTTTTCTGGCTAAATCTATATGCACCTGAACATGCTCCTAAGTTCAGAGGGTTTAACTGAGTGAGCAATTGCTTTCTGCTCTTCCTTTGTTTCCTAGCTACGGCAGAGAGGTTAGAGCTCTTGTATTAGGCTGAAAATTATTTCTGACTAGAGTAATTATATAAATGTCATGAAAAAGATGTTATCAGTTTTTTTTTTTTTTCCTTCCAGAGTTTCAGAATTATCTTTTTCATTGTGGGGGGGAAGATGGTGATTATTTAAGATAAGAGCAAGCCTTAGCTCCTGTATCCTTGACACAGGACGTGGTAAAATGGAGCTGCTCCTGCTCCCCAGCTGGGCAACTTGGAGCCAAAGTGGAGAAGAGACAACAGCAAAGGTCATGTGTGAACGGTAAGCAAGCAGAGAGCGCTTCGGTAGCACACACCAAATTACGTTTTGCCCTGGCAATAATATATTTTCCTCAGGAATTTATTTTGGTGCTGGGGGCAGTGCTTGACTTGCAAGGTCGCTGTGCTGCGTGTTGTGGGCCCTTCGCGCTCCCAGCGAGGGAGGTGGAGGTGGGCTCGTTGGTACCGCGTTGGGTGCCCTCACCTTGGGCGCAGTAGCCCATGCAGCCGTGGGTGGGCGGCAGGCGGTAGACGAGGAAGGCGCCGCAGTTGCGCACGGCCACGGGGATGCGGAACGCGCAGCAGTCCTGGGCGCCGCCGAGGAGGAGGCGCCACGTGGCGCAGGCCGTGAGCTCCTTGCGTTGTCCGGCGGCCGGCAGCGCTTCCGAGCCCAGCGAGAGCCACACCGGGGCCTGTGTCCCGCACTTGTTCATCTGGGGACACACACAGAGGGGACAGTTTACAGCAAGTATGCCACGGCTCCACGGGGAACCATTGCTACAAAGCAAGGCTATGAGGGTGGTGAAGATGGAGGGTGGGCGAAGGAGCCATGTAGACAATCATAAATACCTATTTTATGAGGAAAGACTAAGAGAGCTGGGCCTGTTCAGCCTCACGAAGATTGAGAGAGGATCTTATCAACATGTACAAATACCTGAGAGGAGGATATAGAGAGGATGGGGCCAAACTCTTCTCAATGGTAGCCAGCAATAGGACAAGGGGTAATGGGTATAAACTGAAACATGGGGAGTTTCATCTCCACATGAGGAAGAACTTCTTTCCTGTGGGGGTGCTGGAGCCCTGGAACAGGCTGCACAGAGAGGCTGTGGAGTCTCCTTCTCTGGAGATCTTCAAAACCTGCCTGGATGCCACCCTGTGCCCCATGCTCTGGGTGTCCCTGCTGGAGCAGGGGGGTTGGAGCAGATGATCTCTAGAGGTCCCTTCCAACCTCAAACATTCTGTGGTTCTGTGAACCCACTGAACAGCACATCCCCAAAGCAGGCCACACATCAGAAAATGTTGTTCCTAAAATGGCTTGAGCGAGTGCATTTTGGGTCACAGTTGGGAGAGGCTGAGCTGTATTTATGTTTCCAAATTTAGAGATAGCTGGTCAAAGATCTCAGATCTGAATTGCTCTCTGTAGGTGCCCGGTTCTCTCCACTGACTGTGCGGATATGATTATCCAGAACTGCCTTCAATTTAAGTGCCTCGGAGATGAGATCGGACATAGCCTGAGCCTCCTAAAATTAAATCCAAATTACTGACAATAACTGACTCACAGGGAAGAAGTGTTTCTGTTTCTTCGCATTTCCTCAGACGGAGAGTGCATGGTGCCATTTCTAATAGTCCTGGGACACCCTTCCTCCAAAAGGGAACATGTGGCTATATGTCAGGTTTGAAAAAAAAAACACCCTCACTCTTAGACATCTAAAAAGCAATGATTCTCAAGAGACATTGTTAAAATGGTCCAAAGTCTCGTTTTCCCCAGAAATGTGGCCTATACCTGTCCTCGTCGTGTCCATGTGCATCCCTGCTGTCGTAATGCAGGAGGCCACCAGGGAGGAATGGTTTGCCAGAGAGGAGGGAATGTGCATAGAAATGCTTTTACTAGGAATTTTAGATGAATCCATTTCCTGCTGCTCTTTAAAAGCCATGTTTTATATGATTCTTGAAGAGATTTGTTCTATTTATTTATTTACTGCTGCAAGGGAGGTCAGTGCTTTGGAGCTGAACAAGGTGCAGATATGGGAAATTCATTCTATCCTGGGTACGTTCCGACTTAGAGTGAAATGTAATGTGAAATAACAATGTTTTCACAGCATGTTTATAAACATACAATAGTAATGACACCAAAGAGTGCACTGAGTATCTTCAAATAGGATATGGAGAAGAGGATGTGCCATACATAGAAAGAAGAAATGGTTGAGAGAGAAGGATGGGTGACAAGAGCTCAGCAGTTTCTATTTCATATTCATTTTATGGTTTTGTTGAGGGCCACTACACATACAGTTAAAAACCTTTATTTTTTTAATTTAGATATTTATACGCATGCCTCGCTGTCTCTGATCCCAGAAGAAATAACCTTCTAATGATTTTCTATAGAAGACCTTTTGCTGTTTGAGATGTGTTGAAGAATCGCTGCCTCCATTTGCTTGGGCAGGTACCGGCCTGCATGGCCACAACACGTCGGCATTGCATGAGGATGTGCAGGGCAGGCACTGCCTCCTCGGCTGCCTCCCTGACCTTGGGCAAACTGCTTAACCTTTCTGTGCGTGGCTTCCTTATCTATAAAATAGAGGTAAAGGAGGTGGCTGAGGTGGTAATAGTTCTTCCTTGCTTTTCAGCAGTGTTGAGAAGATAAATTCATTAATGAGACACTCAAATATCTACCATGCTATGAGCCATGTAGATAAATAGACAGATGCAAGTGCATTCTGGCTGTGATAAAAGATGAAATGGGATCCATATATAAAAGTGGTTTTGTATGCCATGTTAACACATAAAGGCAAAAAAAAAAAAAAAAAAAACGGAATAAGAAGACAGTGATTTTCTTCCTCTTTGTATTTATCTTCACTGTAAGTCTGCAAGCCATTTCAGTGCTTGAGAAAGTATGGATTAGTGCCACTGACGTAAGCCAACAGTTTTGTGTGCAAGCTTTATGATAAACCCTCGCTGTTGATCTGCAGCACCCTGGATTTGTTCTGGCAAATCTTGCATTGAAACCGCTTCAGCTAAATAGTTTGTTATGTAATGTGCACAAATTACAAGCAGTAATGAACCCTTTTGACTGACTGCACACTCTGCAAACTCCAGCCTGAGAAATCAGTCATTTTAACAAACTGCGATAAAATATTACACACTGTCCAAGGAAGAATTTTGGTGTGAATCAAGGAATTCCGTTTCCCTGGAAGCTTCATGATATACGTGCATTTATTTTCTGCTTGGAGCTGTATGCTGCCCATCTTAGGCAAGCTGCCCGTACTAACCAAAAGGATTTGCTGCATTAGGCCTCTGTGAATTGAAAAATAGACCTGGGAAGGGCAAATGTATATTCATGCACTCAGTCAGCAATACAGATAAGAACAGAAAGACACAAATGAGAAACAAAAATCTGGAAGAAGAATTTCAAAGAGCCAAAGTTTTTAGGTCCCAGCTGTGGAATAATTAGCGTTAAATTTTGCAGCAGTCATTTGAGAGAGTAACCAGAAAATTGAATACAGGGGTAGCAAATGATTGGCATTCAAGATATAGCATTTACCTGCAATAACTACAGTCATTGCTGCACTAAGAATAGCAAAAAGCTGTGGGAATCTCACACCATAATTCTGGAGCATTTCTAAACTGGAGAGCAAGAATTAAATATCTGCCTCCACAGAAGAGAGAACTTTGCATCTCTCTCATAGGCAAGTATTTAGTCCTAGAAGGCAGCAGTGAGGGATGCGGACTATGGATTTTTGAGGCTATCTATGCAAGCTACATAATTCAGACTACGTAGCAGCACCGCTGCTGTTGCATGGAAAATGCCAGTGTTTATTACTTGAAATGGAAGATACACAGCAGGAAGAAAACTAAGCTGGGATAACTAACACTGGAGATCATGTGTATTCCTGAAAGTTCGTTCAATTATTTCTGAGTATACTGCTAGGCCAAATAAAAAATCTCTCCCTAAAAATCCTGTCCCCCTTTTTCAGGTTTAAGCAGAGTGCTAGACTGGAAGCTGCCACAGATTGATTAACTCTGTGTACTAGATCACCTGCACTCGATGAGTGTGGTTGAAAGGTGTAGTTGGATTTGCAACTGTCCAGTTTAATTATAATTTACTGAAGTGAACTATATTGCTGTAAACACTAAATTTAGATTATACAGTTGCATCTGTCTTAGGTATTTTGCAGTGACATAGCTTACACAAAAGAAAACTTTTCTAACAGAAGAGGGATTTTGTAGGCTGTTGCTGGGCTGTTTTCAGTGCTCAGTATCCTTTCATTCTTTGTCCAATAATAATTAAGTGGTGTTTTTAATCTTCAAAGCATTTTATAAGCCTTACCTAATTAATCTTCCCAACACCTGTGTGTGGCAGGTAAGCATTCATTAAGTGTTTTTGAGTCATACTTAGGAGCTCACTAATCTCTTTAATAATTCAGTTCAGAAAACCTAAACGACAAAATTAAATTTGTTCCCCCATTGCCAATTACAATGGGACAAACCATTATTGTTTAATCCAATGATGTCTCCTTCTATTTCGTAGGGGGGGGTTGGGCAATCAACTACTTTGATTGATTGAACACTCTAAGGTTCTTTATAATTGCGCAAAGAAATCAGGCTTGATTGTTCTTGTCACTTGGGTATTGCACTGAAATTATGCTGTTAAAAATAAGTAGCACCATATGTGAGAAACGCATTGTTTTAGTTTGATAGGAATGGAAGGCTTTTCGGTATATTGTCGGTTGGCAGTTGAAGCATTGTGATTTTGCATCTGTTATCCACTCAAAACTTTACTTTGCCTTAGTTTTTGGATTTCTTTGTAGTAAGTTAAAGTAAATATGTTTTTTATTTATTTATTTTTTATTTCAGTCTAGGGCCGAACTCCACAGAAATCGGTTTACGTCAGGGATATCTGTAGCAGCAATTAAACTGGTGCCTGTCTTGGGTTTCTTTTAAGTATATGCTTCTGAACAATAGAGACTGTAATTGTAATTTCTATAGAAGGTTTTTTGTATGTCTGAAAGACAAACAAGACAAGCAAAATCTCTTCATACCTACCATTATGATGTTAGAGTATTCACATATATAGGCAGAAACAGAATTGCAGATGAAAACGTGAAATAATATCTTGAAAGTGTCGCTTGCTTTTAAGTTCATATAGAAATTGCAAATCCAAGTAGGATTGGATTCAGAGCAAAATAAAAAATTGAAATAAAATAAAAAATTAATAGTATGCCCCTGAGCTATTGTATTTTGAATCTAAGTAAAAAATTTTCTACAAGAGGTCAGGTAGATGAGGAAATTAAACTGAATGTGGAAAAAAATTAATCTTCTTCATCAGGGACTAACAGTATGAGGTGTTACACGCAGATTGGATGTGATACTCTTTAACATGGCCTTGTTTAATACACCAAAGAGCAGCCCTGTGCCAATGCAGGCTGAGGTGCTTTCTCCAGCACGGGAATGAGCCAATGAACAGAACGTGAAGGAAAAGCACCATTTTGCCTTTAAAAACCCACAGCTCCACTGAGCAACCGTGTGCTGAGCTGTGCTCCTTAAGCAGCTCTGATGAACCCACAGCGGTCTCCTGCTCCAGCAGGCCCCTCAGGAAACACAAGCCTGGGAGGAAAAAAAGAAAAAAAAAAGGGAAAAAAATGAAAAGAAAAAAACCCAGCACTCCCCAACACAGAGCTCTGATGGAAACCCGGGGCTGTGAGGAGCTGCGTCCTCCAGAGAGCTTTAATCTCTTTGCTCATCCTCCCCAGCGGACACGCCAGCCTTGTCCTCTGTCTCCGTGTCTGTTATGGCCTGCTGTTCTTTTCTTTTACAGACTGTTTGCTCCTTTAAAGCCTGCTGTTCTTTTCTCTGGGAGCCTCCAGTGCGGCTCAGTTCACCTGTCTCCGCTTTTTCCAGAGATGAAGCATGGAAGGCAGGAGCTGGATGCAGGGATGCTGGTGCTAGCTGCAGCACTGACTTGATAGAACACATTGGCATAAAAGCTTTTTGCCCGGCTCCCTTTCCAGGCCCTGTAGTTCCTGGTATTTTACTTGATGATGTGGCTGCTGTCACAGCCTGGGCAGGACGGGCTTTTATCCCCCAGCCTGTCCTGGTTTCTTCAGAGCGCTCAGGACAGGAGGTACCAGTGTGTGGCACAGGTTTTTCACCCACACGTAAGAGAGGAGAAGGAAGAAACACAGTTCTGGTTGTGTCTGTAGCTGTAAGCCCTGCTTACACTGCGCAGAGGCTGTGACCGCGCGCGGCGCTTCTTTAATCCACACTGAGCTTTTATTCCACCAAGGTAGTGTAGACCTTCAACAGCATTAGCAGGGGGTGCTCCTTCAAAATCCTTTCCAGTATTCATTCCTTTCCTGGGGCTTGCCTGTATGTGTGTGTGTGTATGTGCTATGTTATTTTAATCCAGAAGCCTATTTTTCTAACCAATGTTTTATCTATATTGACTGTTCATTGTTAAATTTTTCCCTGTATTTTTAATAGATTTTCAGTTGAGCTTTAATTTTCATGGCACTTCTGTTCTTTCCCTGAAGGTCATTTTCCTGCTAGATCTGGCCATGTCTGTGCATTGTTTCTTGCTCTTATTGTAGTCCCTTAATCTTAGCAAAGGCTTCCCTATGCTTTCTTCCTTTAGTGATTTTTTCCCTTCCAAAGTGAATCTGGCAGTTCGTGCAGAACAAGCTATTGTTTGTGATGTGTAGGCAGCAGCCTTGCTACCTGGGGATACAAAATTTGCAAGTTTGTGTAGCTTTTCCGCCAGAATTTGCTCTTGGATGGGGACGTGGCTGTGGCCCAAGAGCGCATGCTCAGAATCCTGTAATTGCTCTGCTTCCTTAGGGAGCACAGAGGGAGAGAAGAAGAAGAAATAGAGGGAAGAAGGTCAAGATTATTCTTTACCCCCCACAGGGAAATTCAGCAGGCAATGCCTAAATTGGAAAGTTATTTCAATCAAAAGTATTTTACCCGTGGAGGAAGAAGTTTATGGACAGCAGTTGGATTTAGGGGATGGAGAATTCAGGAATACGGTTAACGTTTTCACTATCTTTGACCAAAAAAAAAAAAAAGTTTTCTTTCTTTTCTTTTTCTCTCAGGTTTTAATAAGCTTGCTCAATTAGTGGATGCGAAGAAATTCTTAAGAGTCGCTGCTATTTGTTAGAGGTCCATGGCAAAAGCCTGGGTCTGTTAGTGGTGACATGGTTCTGGGCAGAAACTCTTGTAACTTCTTGCTTCATACGGTCGCAAAACAGTAATCAGATGTGGCTGCATTTATATTATGGATTTTTTTGTGTGCCAAAATTCAGAATATAGGGTTTGAAGAGTATCTGAAGGAGCCCACAGCTCCCACATAGGCCCCACGTGCAGCTCTGAGGGCCCTGCTCCCTGAAGTGCGCCCAGCACGTGCCAACCCTCCTGCAGAAATTCTCTACTCAGAACCTCTAAATCTCCATTATAGTTTAAATCCCCTTTGAGCACAATTGGATGGCAAGAATCCTTACCTGCTATTGCTTTGAATTAAGAAGTTAATCTTATCCTTTGATAAGCAGCTAATTTTCCATCCCGCCAGTATCAACAGGGCATATTTTCTACAAGGCACTGGGGTCATGTACTTTTTAACTCTCTACCTGCATTGTCTGGCTTAATGTGGTCACTTTTTTCCTTCCGTTCAGGATTTTGTCTTTCTCTTGTTTAATTAAAATCAGCTTGCTATAGCCAGAGATTGGAATGTCCAACAATAACTGCTTATTAAAGAGTGGAAGCTGTGCAGTTATTAATTTAAATTATTTTGTTCCAGAGGTTTTGCTCAAATTAAATGGAAAACCAAATTAAACAATGATTTAATTAAGTGGAAGAGAGAGAATGTAGAGGAAGATTTAGAAGGTGAAGATCTAAAAGAAGAGCATTCTTCCAGTAGTGACATATAACAGATGTAATCCTTCATCAGCGCAGTGAAACAGAGATTTACTGTCATTCAGAGGATAATGAAGAAACCAACGGCAAGAATTATGTTACAAGATAAGAAACTAAACTGATGATTATAGCTCTACAAACCTGAATAAAAAACTCCATAGAAGAGATTAAAGGAAACAAAGCATGTTTTGTTGGAAAGAAAACTCATACAGTTGATCATTACTAAGTACTAGAGATTGCTGAATGCAATGACAAATTAAATAATTTTATGGAATATGTGCATACTCATAGAGCAACAGGTGTTAAGTAAAATGCATAATACATCTAGTTGTTTATTCAAGGATGGTCTGCCATGAAATGACTATTTCAATAACAATCATAGCAATTTGTTCACATTAATTAAATTTATGGATTGTGTATGCAGAGAGTTAGAAATCCTGGAGAAGTGACAATTATTGCTTAACATTTCATTTACTGTGAGTTCATGAAGATATAGATCTATTGTGGCAAGTTCACGGATCCATTCAGGAGGGTGTGAACTCCTGCTTGCTGATTTCATAAAGGTTTCTCAGCTAGATTAACATAACATAATATTAGAATTACTGTCACTCTAGATTGAATGTTTCATCTTTAAAGTCGTTTACAATAATTAGTTTATTATTTTCTAAACAATTCTGTTTAATAGTGTATTTGAAATTATTCTAACCTGCTACAGCTGGGCAATTTAATAGAGCACTGATTTTACTTGGGGTCTGGGATTGGTCTAGCAGGAAGGATTGCAGGTTTAAGGTTATCATCACACATATTAAGCAGACATAAAAATAGGTAATTTTATGGTCTTTTTTTTTTCAGAGAGTACTGTTATGTGATGGAGCTTTTTTGTTCTATAACACAGGGCATTTACAGAACTGTAAATAATACAAAAATTGTTATAGTTAGAAAGACAAATTTGGTTTTATCTTTTTCTCCTGTATGGCTAAAGTGCTTATTTTGTACCACTTTTTCCCTTTTGATTGCATTAAGCAGCAGATAATTATTTTAACTGGGAAAGAAGTCAAGGATCTATTCCAGAGAGCTGGAACAGAATTCCTTGGACTTACCGGAGCTGTGGCATAACAAATGAGTAGATTTAGTAGGTATATGTTTTTAGGGTAGGATGAGGCCTTGGTCGGTATTTGAACAGCTCCTGGTTCACAGGGATCGTGGCCTCTGGCTGTTGCACTCATGTACAGCAGCACTGTTAGGGGAAGAGCCGTTTTCCCATTGCCCCTCCAACCCCATCCTGCTCCTGTCATCACTGTACAGAGGAGCCTGGAAAGGAGAATCACATCAAAGGATCTATGCAAGGGCGCCAGGATAAATTCTTAAGTTTTACTGACTTCTATGCATTTTGTTGGCATTTCTGCAGGCCTGTCGTGGATCATGAAGCGGTACCAGGCGCGGGGCAGGGAGTGATCGCAGACCAGGTCCCGGGTCGCCGCCGGCTGCAGCTCCCGCGAGTCGAACCGGACGCTGCGGTAGGGGCTGCGCAGGACGCGGTGGCCCTCCGGGGAGCACTCGGGAGCTAAAAACGGTAAAAAAAGGACAACCATTAAAGAAAGTGTATCAGTTTGATGGCCAATAGCTGCTTGGGATTGGGCAAGGTGTCAAGACAAAAGTGGGAAACATTCAGGACAACTATATAAAGCGTTGGAAGCCAGGCTACATTAAGATCTTATTTATTTAGATTTTTATCAGAGCTGAACCAGAAGCAGAAATCCTAACCCCATGAATCTGGTCTCAGCATAGTTCTAGACATTAACATCTGCATCTCTCCTAAAAAATTAAAAAAATGGGGTGCTTTGAGGTTTCAAAGTCTTGTGATCATTAAAAACTCACTTTTTATTTGGTTCACATCATTGTAGATATGAGTATTTTTAATCATAACACAAGTTCTTATTTATTGTTCAATACATATCTATATAAATAATGAAAACAAAACTGGGTAAAAATAATAATAAGACAGTAGAGGACAAACAAGTAGAACCTTGTCGTTTGTAGAAATTTGTAAGACTTGAAAATATTCAAGCCCCAGGTCAGATTCACCCAAGGCCTGTACCCAAAAATCCCAGTTCAGACCTACTATATATGCACTGCACAGTGTAAATCAAAACTGCTTCATCTCAAAGCCTGCTTGTTTACATGCTTGCCTTGTTTATTCTCATATGCCTCCTGATTCTCTACAGAATATTCAATATCTCCTATTAGCTGATAGTATGAGGCCTTCCAGTGATTATTTTAGAAGTTATTTGTTATCTGGAA